TTTAATCTGAGCCATCCATCACGATTTAATTTGGGTCGTCCGATCGCGATTAAATTGGAAATAAATTTGGGTCGTCCATCGCGATACGATCTGGGCTGTCCGTGCGTGATCAAATCTGGGCCGTCTGCACGCGTGAGATCTGGGTCATCCATGCGCGCTTTTGATTTGGGTCGTCCGTGCGCGCGAGAACGGATCTGGGCCGTTCGATCGCGCGCACGCGGATCGCCCACGTGTCTCCGTCCTGTGTGGCTTCTCGCGTCAGTGTCCCTGCCACGCGGTGTGTCTTGGTTGGCCGGAGCTGCTGACCGGGCTGCTGACGTGGCGTTATTTTTTAAAATTACGTTTTGACCCCCGATTTTTAATTTTTTTTTTAAAAGCACTCACAGAATCTAAATTTTTACCCATTTTTCCTAAAATCATTTTCAATTAATTTTCAAAAATAATTTTATCCTATTTTATCATTATTATTATTTTTATTTCTATTAAATTAAATTAAATTAAATTAAAACATATAATTATTACAAAATAAATTAATTATTAAAATAAAATAAAACTAAAATAATTTCAATTAAAAAATAATAATAATAATAAAAGGTTTGGGTGTTATATCTTCTCAATAATAGTAACATCTTCTAGTTTTTCATCATGAATCCACATCTTATTTACAATTGTTATAACTATTGAGAAATAATTTGAAAGTGATTCTCTTATCTTCATGTATAAAGTCTCAAAATCATTATGAGGAGTGTGAAGTTGTGCAAGTTTTGTTTTTGTTGTCCCCTGATATTTTCTCTTCATCAAGTCTCAAATTTGCTTTAAAGTATCTTTACAAAGAATAGTTTTCAAAATTAAGCGACCCAAATAGCCAAAAAAAAAAATATTTTTTTTTTTTTGACTTTAAGATCTTTTAACTTATATGCTTCAAGTTCCATCTTCTAGGGATCCAACAACGTAGCACCTACTGGTTCTGCTACTTCAAAAACAACCACAGTCCAAAATTCTCTATATCTTAAAAATTTCTCCTTCAGGATACTCCAATAGTCATAATGACTATGAAACCGTGAAATTGTTGACTGCACAAAATTTTCACAAAAAATATGTTATTAGATGTATAAAGCTCCTGTATTTTACTTTTGAAAGACTCTAATGTTACTGCTCCATGTCTGAAAAGTCGTGTTTAAATTAATTTTATACGTCAAGGATCAAAAGATAATTCTTTTATTGTTTCTTATTATTAATTCTTTTTCCTTTTCAGTTGAAAATGAGAAAAAGGGTGGGTGGAAAATTTTGCTACCATGAAACTGACAACGTTGGAAAAATCCAAAGTATAATCATCTTTCATGGGTTCTGATATTATACAGAGAATAGGAATATTAATTTTGGGTGGG